GCTGTGGCTCCCAGTGACTGGCGCTCCACCAGGGAGGCTGCCAGGACAGCTCCTGCCCAAAGTGCCGGTTGTCAGCGGTGGGTAAGGTTGCTGCCTCCTTCCCGGCACCACCTGACTTTGGGCCTTGGAGTCTTGTGTTCTTAGAACTAAGCACCCAGTGCTGTAAGGCTCCTGAGTCTGTTCTTGCGCTCCTGCTGCCTTCTGGGCACCTTGCTTGCTTGCCCTCACAGACTTGAAGTTGCTCAGTGCTGAGAACCACCCCGGTCTCCCTCTGCCATGGTTCCAACAAGCATGTTTGCCTTCCCTGGACCTGAGTTTAGGAACAGGTATATTTACCCCTAATGAACTTTAACATCCCAACTGTTCTGTGATGGGGAAAACACCCCCATGGGTCTGGGGGGTATTTCTAGCTTTGGAGGTCTTTCGGCAGCACTCATACAATACACACGGTCATTTGTTCACTTGGCTCCAGAGAGAATTTCAGGCAGACACCTGGCACAGAGACGGGGGAAATAACTATTTCTAACAACGAAGGGGATTACATTTCTAATCTGGGGAGACCCAGCCTGCAGAAGGAAGGGCACGGGAGGCAGGCCTGTCGTGAGTACATGCAGGTCTCCTGCGCGCAGGAGAGCCTGTGTTAGGACAGAGACCTGTGCTTGCTCCAGCTCGGGTTGCAGGTGGCTGCTAGGGGCAGTTGAGGGAGAACATGAGCAGCGTGGCTTCTGTTTAGTCCGGCAGCCTGGGGCAAGTTGTTTCAATTCTCAGAGGCTCGGTTTACTTTCCTGTTTGTCCAGTGCAGATAAGAACACCCAACCTGCCTATTTCAGACTTATTGTACTGAAGAAAATCAATACGTATGAAATTCCAAGGTAAAAAATTAGCAGCAGTCCATAAATACAGGGTGCTGGGATGTCTTGCCCTCCGCACTGACGGGTACGATAAGACACTGGGTCTCCACCTGCATCCCCCCTGGGGGCAAGAGGGATGCTTGTGGAGCTGCTTCCCGGGGCACCTGCTGCCTGCTCCTTCTGAGGCCACTGGACGCTGTCTGGCACTGAGAGAGGGCAGGCAAAGACACTCCGAATTCCGACCTTTGAAGCGTTCCATCTGGTCCCCAGTGCTGGCAGTCCCCTCACAGTGTGAAAGACCTTTGGAAAGCCCAGAAGATCTCATAGGTTTTCCCTACCACTGGAACAGATGGTGCGATTCACATGTGTTTGACATAACTGTACCAGGTTGTGACGCTCTGCCTCATTAGCTTAGCTGAAGAGTGGATTAGCCAGCAACACTGCTCTCAGAACGCTAAGCATGACCTCCGATTAAAACAGAAAGTGGGAGTGTGTTCCTTCATGGACTCAAGACTCAAGTTTCTACCCACTGAGCTGTAACCCCGCATGCGGCACTGACAGGCTTGCTGAGAGCTTCTAGTGCACCTGGGACTCGTGGGTGCAGCTCCCCATCCTGAAAAGCACTGTCCTAATGCCTTCTTCCCAGAACAGCGTGGGTGGCAACTAGAGGTTAATAATGTTAAAAGACAGCCATCCGCAGGACTCCTACATGTCCTCGATGCTTTCCACAGTATGCAGACTAATGCCTACAAATGTGAAGCCCACTACTGCCAGAAAACCCCGCTGCAAGTCAGGCACCCTCTCCAGAAGTGTCCGACAGATTCTCAAGGATGATGAAAGCACTCTGTTCACGCTGTCCAGCAACAGCCAGCCTCTCGTGGCCGCCGAGCACAGGGAGCAGGCCTGGTGGGGCACAGGGATTAAATTTTACACTTGCCGTAACTTTCATTCATTGAAGTGTATATAAAAACAGCCATATGTGGCTACTCTACTGGACAGTGCAGCTCCAGCCAATCCAAACCTCCTTCAGGCCTCTGCATGGTGAGGCGGAAAAGCCAGTAGCAAGTAAATTAACTAGTTAATTAGTCTATACCTTCAGTACAGTCTTTTCCTTTTTTTTTTTTTTTCCAAGTTGATGGGAGGAGTAGCTAAAATCAAGTCTGGGGGCTGGTGCTGTGGGGTAGTGGGTAAAGCCACTGCCTGTGGCACTGACATCCCATATGGGTGCCAGTTTGAGTTCCGGCTGCTCCACTTCTGGCTACCTGCTAATGTGCCTGAGAAAGAAGCAAAAGACGGCCTGAGCACTTGGGCCTCTGCACTCATGTGGGAGACCTGGAGGAAGCTCCTGGCTCCTGGCTCCAGTCTGGCCCAGCCCGGGCCGTTGTGCTATTTGGGGAGTGAACCAGCAGATGGAAGTCCTCTCTCTCTCTGCCTCTGCCTCTCTGTAAAACTGCCTTTCAAATAAATAATCTTTTAAAAAAATGAGAAGACATCTAAACTCACTAACAAAAAGCAAAGCTGACTATATTATTCTTTTTCTGGATCAGAAGTGGAGTAGCCAGGACTCGAACCTGCGTTCATGTGGGATAAGCGCCACAGGAGGTGGCTTGAGCTGCTGCACCATAATGCCAGTCCCTAAATGGCAATATCTAGAGCAACACTTTTCTAGAGACATCTGGGAAAATGACGAGCAAGGGGAGAGTCAAGTGGAGCATTAGTCCCTCTCTGTGTGTCCTCGGATCACCTCAGCAGGATCCTCCGCAGCACCAGCACACAGTGGCTGTGGGTCATTCTTTGTCTTAAGGTCTCCTGCTGCTCCGGGACCCACCCACTCTGCAGCGCAGTCACCCCAGGCACAGGCTAACCAATCGTCAAAGGAAAGAGTCACACATGAGAGCAAGAGCAGGGTTCCAATCCCAGACAGAAGGTGCTGTCTTCCATTCCCTTCGGGCATTGCGTGTCTTTTCTCCTTTGCCTCCTTCTTGAGAATTCTGTGAGAGGACACTCCACACTACACAATACACACAACCCTGAGATCTTACCTTCCTGCAGGATTCCCACGGCCCAAGAAAAACGAGCACAAATGGAGGCTGTTCTCCTTGATCCGCGCCCTCACCCACGCTGGACGTCTCAGCGTCTACACGGTAATGGAGAACTTACTTCTTACCTTCCCTGTACACCCTCACTATCACCACTCTGTGCTTTGCACACATGTTTTCCCCAACAGTGCATTCCTCAGGTATTGCAATTTCCACTGGGACACATGGATTCTCCTGGTGCATTGGCCAGCACAGTGTCAGATGCCATTAGGGGTTTAATCAGTGCTTCTTGGTAATGGATAAAAGACCATTAGATGCAATGGGATTTTAAGTTTTTTTTTTTTTTTTTTTGGTTCAACATATTGCAGACAAGAAATGTAGCACTGCTCTTGTAGGATTTGTTCAGGGTAGTGGATTAGGCTTGGTGATTGTGGGGAAGGACTTCAGTATACACTTTTCTTGCTGAAAAACCGTCGTCAGCTCAGCCCTAGTTGTATGATTAGCACAGGAGGAAGGGAAGGTGTGATAAACACATTTCAGGTCCGGGTTTTCTCAAGAGTTAAAACAGAGACTACAAATCCTTTTGCTGAGCCAGTTGCAGTGTTCTGTGATGGCCGGGAAATGCGACTACCACAAATGGGGTCAGGAACCTTGCTGTTCACTCAGGCTGGGAAGCAGGTGCACAAGAAGACCGTGACGAACTAAGTGTTCCTCACCGGCCCGGCTGCTCTGGCCCGCGTCTTCCAGCTCATCTCCCTGTGTGTTTACCCTTGAAGGCTGTTTTGAAACTGAAAGCCTTTCATTCTGCTCCCACTTTAGTCCTTAACAAAAGCTTAGAGTGCAAATAGGGGAAACAATACTAAGCTAGTAATAAAAAAAAAGTCTCTCTCTTCTCCAAGTTAAAAAGTCTACAACAAACAGCACTTCAGATTCTCTAAGAGGGGTTCCTGTATCAGCTGCAGCAGCATCACCCGGGAACCTGGCAGATGCAAACCCTTGGGCCCCGCCTCCCAGACCTATCAAGCAGAACCTTTGGGGTGGGGCCTGGTAATCTGTATTATGGGTGGGGGGGGAGAACCTTTGTGTGATCTGATGCACTAGCATTTGAGAACCATTGCTTTAAACCAATGTTGACATGGCTTGAACTAGTCAACGTACTAAAGCACATGAAGTAAGTATCCCCAAGACTGGAAGTCTTCCCCATTCCTAAAACCAAGCACCCAACACATCCAGCACTGAACCGTCCCAAGGCTGATCTAAGAGAGCTCTTAAGACCCGGGGTCTCACCAGGCCTCCTGCAGGCCACAGGGCCTGGGGTGGGCTGGTGCCTCTGAGCTGAGCCAGAGGCTCATCTGCATCACGCGAGAAGAGAAACACACAGGGGGACACAGGAAACACCATGCTGGAAATCCTTGAACTCAAAGGTTTCTTTGCAATCCATCAATTTTAATTTCTTTTTGGAGAGGAGCATGTATTTTGTAATTTTCAATCATTTCACAAATAATCAAAAGAAAGACGGTGCTGATGAAATGAAAGAAAAATCATTTCAGATATTCGCTTATCAGCTGCACCCGCTGACCTAGTGAGTGTAGACAATTCACACGCATATTTCCCAGCTCTTCGCTCCTTCATCAAAAGGCTTATTAACCGGCATCCTCTAGTCATGGGCATTCTTGCTCTCCTCCTCCACCCCAAGCACCCGCTACATTGTAAGGGGCTTTACTGAAACTTTGTCTGAATGATGTGAAGACTTTCACATTTCTGTTTGATACCAGCGTTCGCTCCCATAGCATTATCTTTACAAAGCCACAAGAACACAAGGACAGAAAAGTGTCCAAGCACCAGACGCACAGCATCATTTTCTGATCTTTTTCGTCACAACACAAACCTCCAGCCTAAGAAAAAGGGAAATGCACACTCCGCTCAGAACTTTTCTCACTTTAAATTGCACCTCTCATCACGACCTATTACACCCACATCGTCATGTGCCACGAGCAGTGCAGACTGCCTCCAACAGCTCAAAGGCTCACAAGCTATTTTTAAAGCACTTTTTAAGGAAGAACAAAGTAATGTGGCAGTTTTTAGGTATGCGGGCAATTAGCCAACTCACCAAAAGATTGAATGCAGCTGTCAATGAGATCGTCCAGGCTGGCTCCTTTGGCTAAGTGTCCCAGAGAAACCATCATTCGGAACTGGGTGATCTGGGCCAGGCTGGGATGGGAAGGGAGAGGGCTGCTGGCTGGCGGCTTCGCCTCTAGTCTCGCTTTTGGGCCAGCTCTGCAGCCATGGGAAGGTTTCCTGGGGAAAGAGAGAAGGCAGTGAGGGCCAGCGGAGCCGCAACTCCCCAATCCAAAGGCAGACTGGAGAGGAAAGGAGCGCAGATAAGACAATTAATCCCGGGAGCTGGGCTGATGGAAGACATACCCCTCCCACTTGGCCAATGCACCAAACGGACTGGTTGTCTGTTAAAGAGACATCTCCCCAGCAAATGACAAGGTGAGATTGCAGGCTCGCCTGTCGGGCTTCAACCTGGCATTCCGATTGCTCGGTCCTGCTGTCTCCTGGTTCCCCAAGAGGAGAAGCAGAGGAGGGGGTGTGTGTTGGCAGTCCTTAGCTTCTAGCAATAACTTTTTATTTTAGCTGCCAGGCCACCAACTTAAAATCTCGAGAACTATTTCAGTTGGTCTCATCTTCAACTAAATTCACTCATTTTGAGCAAGACCAGACATTCCACAGAAGGTCAGGCAGCCTTGGAAGCATCTTCAAGGACCTTGGGAACGAAGTCAAAGACTCAAGAGCCATGTTCACAGAGTGAGGTTTAGGTTAAGCTGGGGGTGTTTAGAGTTTAACTTAGTCCTGCCTTTCTTACACATCTCAGTTGCTTTTCAGATCCCGTTTTTCATTCTCGATAATGCAGGTAAGTCATAATGAGTCATTTTATCACTAAATGGCATTCTATCAAATCCTTACTTGGCTCCTTAACAATTAAAAAAGCAAGCAAAGCTATGAGAACTCTGTTCCAGAATTAAATGTAAAAGGACAAGTTTGGGTCTAGAAATGGCTTTGGAGCCCAGGGGGCCTTCACCACTCACGTTTAGCTTTATCTTTGGTCAGGATCTCACTGGTACAAGTCACTTTGCAAAATGACTTCTGAAGGTTAAGTATTTCATTTTCTTCTCTATTAAAACAAGTACATGCACATATACACCGATACATATCTACATCTTTGAAGGCTTCACAGTGATGGATGCTGTTGCTGGTAACTGCTTGGAACAGATAGTTTCATTCTCCTCTCCCTACTGTGGCTTTGGCTATTTAAAAATTTACTACCAAGGAAGGGGAGGGGGGAGAAAATATACTCTATATGCAGATGTTAGCTATTCACTACATAGTGTGATAAACACAGAATGTCATCAGTTAATCAGCTCAGTGCTTAGTCTCTGAACAAGACATTGTGGACAGGCCAGAGGGGAGCATAGTGAGTCTTATGAAAGCACTTTGTCAACTATAAAACGTGCTCAGTATACATCTGCTGTTATTATAGAAAGGCAATCCAGAAGTTCCTTAATAGAAAAAACAAGTTAAAGGGCCAGACACTGGGCACATGTGGGTTTTGGGACATCAGACTGCTAAAACCCAAGTTTCCTGAATTATGGGCCACTCAGCACATGGCCATTCTCAGGCAGGGAGCAGCTCCTGGGTTTCTGTTTCTAACGCCTTCCAGGGCGCTGGCCTGTAGCGGCCCCTGAGCTCTGCTCCAGCCTGGGGCAGGACCAATGAAATCCAACCAACAACCGTCACTGGGCCTCTGTGAATGCAAGGCAGTGATTCCTGAAAGATCAAGCTGATAGCCCAAGACTCAGCTGGGTTTCTGGCCCTTACGAGATCTCTGCCCAGGCCCTGGGATAGCCCCATGATCAGATCAGCATCTGAGAACAAAAGAGGAATGGCCACCATGAATTGAGCACCCACACTACAGCAGGCCACGTGCTGGGCACTGGCATCGTCTTCAAAGCCTGCAGCCCGGAAAGCCGTGGTCTCCATTCCATGATGTTGAAATGAGCTCAAAGAGGCTCAGTGACACAGTCAAGGCTGCACAACTCCTGTGCATCTGATCTGGGACTGTCCCCAGTGCCTTTATGGCTCGATTCCTTTAATAAACTTACTATGCCTAGAACTGGGCACAGCAAGTAGAGTCCCACACAGAGGATAAAAGGTCAGCTCCACTGAAAACCCAAGTCAATCCCTCAGCAGCACAGCGACCACACCTCCTGCAAGTCACCAGGACTGCTGTGGGGACCCCAGGGCCCCCCAGAGTCCTCGGGCTCACCTTCCAAACCCCTCTCCTCCAGCTGGGCAGGACCAGGCTTGGAAGGGCAACCTGACTGGCCACTGGGAAAAAGACCAGAAGCCAGCCTCCTGTGCCCTGTGCCATAGCCCTCGGTGGACCACCTTGCCCACCTGCACACACGGGCCCGCCTGGCCGGAGCTGCAGGTTACTCAGCTCTCTGCCCTAGCTGCCGCTTTCTCAGCAGTAAGCTCTCCACTCAAGACAGAGTAACGTTATTCCTAGTACGAGTTTCTGTTTCTCTCACGTTTTCCATGACCCTTCTCCCTAGACCCTGCAGAAGAGGTGACAACTCGTAGAAGCTGCATCTGCAGACAGAACTCTTCCTGTGGGGGCTGGGGACACGGCTGGAGGTCAAAAAGAAAAGAAAAAAAAATTTGCTCTCTTGGCTGGTGGTATCCAGTATTCAAGGCCCTGAGCCGTCCCTCTCCTGGAGTCTAGCCGTGCTGCTTAGTGTCACCAGGAAGAGGACCGGCCTTGGTTTAAAAGGCAGAGTCAGACACTTTTACCAGAACCAGAAGGGGCTGAGGCAGATCAGGTATTAAGGACAAACCTGAGCATTCAGGGTAGAACAACAGAAAGAAGAGAGCGATAAAGACGCAGGCTGGGGAATACGGAGGCCACAGAGACTCAGCAGGCTTGGACATGAGAATCAGAGAAGAGAAAATTTTAAAAAACCTAACTGCCCCCTAAGAAGTCTACGAAGACGGGCATTATTTGGTTCATAGCCTAGGAAACTGGGCTCTTACTGCATTCTTACTGGTGTCCGTGTGGAAAACCTTGAAATTGCTGTCTCTTCCATGACACCGTGGTAGACAAGGATTTTAAAAATGCTTACAGGCAGAACTGAGGGTGTTTTCACAACCCAAAGGAGAAAAGACCTCTATGTCTGAAAAAGCATATTTTCAAGGGATAGGAACCAAATCCTTCCTGGCTGGCCTCTCTTCTTGTGAATTAAAAACAAAAAAACCAAAACCAAAATCCTCGAGAGAAATGCATTCACTTGAAACGTCCCCGGAGCCTAAAACGTGGCCAGACTCCGTGGGTTTGCAGACAGCTAAACCCGAGCGGACTAAGGGGAGAGCCTCTCTATGCAGGCACAGGTGCCGGAGGCCAGGGCCCTGCTTCAGGCTGAGCTGGCGAAGCGCGGCTTCCACAGCTGTCTCTGCTAGGGACGGTGACTTTTATTGGCATCCAGTGAGGATTTCTTCCAGTCTCGTCCTCTCCGCCACTCTCCCGCATAGCGCACTCACTCTAGTGCAAAGCACAGGACTGCACGCTCAGGACACGACTTGGTGGGGGGGGGGGGTGGTGAGCGGCAGGGAGGTGCAGCACCCAAGCCTCCTGCCTCTACCGGGTATGGCTGGGCAGGCCGGGTACTGGTATGTCACATCAGCCTACGGGAACCAGGCGACGAGCGAGCCGCAGGCCAGGGTCAGGCGGCTGCCTAGGCGCCTGCCTGCTTCTGGTCCTTTGGGGACAAACTCAAAGTTGCCTGCTCCCTCCCCGCCGGTTTCTCCTGCTAAGACCCTCCGAAAACATCTCTGCAGATTCACAGTGGGGTAGGGGGAGGGAGGAGCGCAGGTTCCCACTCAGAAGGTTCTACAGTTCGCTGACCCACGGCTCCGGAAACTTTGCTGGGGCAAGGGGATCAAGTGGGGCCACCTGCCCTTGATCGCCACTAGCGGGGTCGGCCGTCCGGGCAAGGCCGGGAGAGCGCGCCAGGTGGCGCTGCCGGGGCCCGGCACGCGCGCGCTCGCAGCAGGTGCAGGGGGCACGGAAAGTCGGCGAGTGGGAGCCCTGGGGTGCATGGCGGGAGGGTCTGGGAGAGGAGATCGGCGAGCGGGCGCGGGTAGGTGAAGGGCTCGGATCTCGCAACTCTGGGTCCCGCCAAGTGACCTGTGCCGCGCCGCCTCCACGGCCCCAGCGCTCTCCGCCACCCCCCTTCAGACGCGTCCGCCCCCCGCGCGCTTCTCACCCGACTTCAGCCGAGACCAGGCTCCCGCCGACCCCCACCCCAGGCCAGCCACTTCCCTCCAGGCAGGAGCCCCGTCAGCCGCCGCCAGGGCATCACGGAGCGGATCGCAGGGGGCCGCCCGCGCAGTTGCCCCTACCCAGGCGCTCCGAGGGCCGCCACCGCCGCCGCGCGTACTCACCGCGGAGCCTCTCTCGCCTTGCCCAGCGTGCCCATGGCCACGGCTCGCGCTCCAAGAGCCGGTCACCTGGCGCGGCGGGACGGGCTCGGCGGGGTGCGGCGCATCGGGCCTCTCCCACGGGCCCTCGCCGCCCCCGGCCGCCGCTCTCCGAGCCGGGCGAGCCGGAGCGAGGCGCACCCGCAGGCACAAACTTTGTGCGAGCGCGCCCCCTTCGCGCGCGCGCTCCCTGGCCGGGCGCACCACCTGACGGGCGCCGACGCTGCGGCTGGGGGAAGCGCCGGGCGCCCTGCAGCTCCGCGCCCGCACCTGCCCCCTCGCTGCGCGGCGCCCACAGCTGCGCCTCCTGCAGTTCTCTCCTCCCCCTGCCTGCCCCAAGCTCTCCCCGCCGAAGGGTTCAGTCCAGCCCGAGCCGGAGAGGGGTGGTTCCCCTGATCCCACCAAGCCGTGGGCTGAGAAAACGGGCCTCACCTCGGGGCCCTGGTGGGACCCGCTCGCGCCCGCAGGCCCCTCTCGCAGTTAGCCATCAGAACGCGGGGTCGTGGTCGGGGTAAGGAAATCAGGCACTATGTGGAGGTGCCTTAACCTGCGCATTTGGCTTTCCCATGGCAGTGAGCAAAACTGGGCTGAAGAGGCGTGCGGGGAGCCTTGACGGCGGGCGGCGGGGGTGGAGGTGCGCCCGGAGGCCCGATGCACATCGGGAGGCAGATGCCTGGCACCTGAGGGCAGAGGAGGAGGGGTAGGGGCGGCGGGGACAGCTCGCTTCCAGTATTGGGGCGCCCGGCAGACCTGGCCGCGAGCGGAGGCCTGCCCTGCCTCTGTGGTCCGAGCGAGGGTGGTGATAACCCGACTGACTGCGTGGTGCAAAGTGCTCCGTATGTGTTATCTCATTGAACTCCATTCTCCCCAAGACAAAGATGTCGATGTGAAAGAGATGAGAACATTACGGTTTAGGGAATAAGATGCCTCACATCACACAAGTGGTAAACAGCAGAGACACGAATGACTTGGGCAGCTCCTGACTCCGTGTAATCACTGGAGGACCGTCCTAATTATAACACTCATTATCGCCGTCGCGCGGCTCCTGGCTCTAGCCGCGGTAGCCTACCGTGGCCTCGCCAGCCAGTCTATTTCAATTAGGTGTTTCCTTATTCGCCACCTTGTCCTAAACAGAGACTTGAGGATAACTTACAATAATACATAGCCCGCAAAAGGAAATGTGTGAAATGGAAAAAAAAAAAAAAGGCACACAAATGGAACCATAATGAACATCCTTTGGGGGGGACCCAGTGAAGTCCACTACACTTGCTATAAATGGGGACCAAAATTTGTTTCCTGGTTTCCTAGCAGTAGAATTCAAAGGGGAGTCCTTGTCGAAAAATTTAGTTAATATCACATGCAAGACTAACAGAGACTACTCACAAGAAAATCCACTCTGCTTGATAGCAGGAGAGTTTCTCCGGTATATCTTCTTGAACACTGGGTAGTATAAACGGCCAAGGTCACAGTCACAGCCACATAGAGGGAAGAAGCAGGTGTGTATTTGATAAATATTAAACAATGACGCTCTTCCCCGCTCATGGGCTCTGAGGCACAAAAAGTTTCAGGGCTACCTATTACAGCCCCTCCCCCAGGGAAACCTAAAACCACCAGCCCTGTGGTTGCATGGGGATGGTGACGACTCCTATTTGTATCCCTGTCCAACGAGTTCCCAATTCTCCTGTCTGCAGTCTTTGTAGAGGAGACCTCTAATTACCAGGTGAACAATTACCTTCCCCTGAGCTCCCCACCCCAGAGTCTGAAAGCTAAGAGGCTACTTCCAAAAGTTCATGGAGGATGGAGTGGAAAGATGAGTTGATCTCCAGGGCAGGCACTGAGGCACAGCAGGTTAAGCTGCCACCTGGAATGCCTGCATCCCCGAGCAGAGGGCAAGGGATGGAGTTTTGCTTCTGCTTCTGATCTAGTTTCCTGCTAATGCGCGTCCTGGGAGGAAGCAGAGGGTGGCTCTAGTACTTGGGTCCCTGCCACCCAGGTGGGAGACACTGATGGAGCTCCTGGCTCCTGGCTTCAACCTGGCCCAGTCCTGGCTGTTCTGAGAATGCGGTGAGTGAAACAACACAGGGAAGATCTTTCTATCTGTTTTTTTTTTCTTTATGTCACTCTGTTTTTTGAATAAACTAAAAAATAATAAGCATTTTTTAAAAGTTAAGTTTATTTTGGGGCAAAAATTTTTGAAATCCATGCAAAAATTTTTTATGTGTGTTTTCCATGAACTTTTTGAAGACGTCTCATGTCGCTCCCCGTCTTCGTGGAGGAACGACACAGGACCCTGCGCTGTTCTTTCGTCTGCTCGGCCCTTCCCGGGTTTGCTGCTGGTTCTTCCCGGGTTGGCTACCGTCCCTTCCACCTCCGTGGAAGGGCGGTTCCCCCTAGCCACTTTCCCCACTTCCGCGGGGGAGTGGCACACTGCTGGCCGGCTCTCTCGGGGGCTGCACAGGTGTTCCTTCAGATAGATGTTCCTCTTAGATGTTCCTGGTGCATGTTGTCTCTCTCTTCCTTTATAATCCTCTTCCACCAATCCCAACTCTGCTACCCACACGCCGAGTACGCTGCTCTCCTCCAATCAGGAGTAAGTCCTACAGTTTATTGGTTGAACTGGAGGCAGCTGTGTAGAAGCTGTTTCTCCTTTCTCAGCGCCATATTGTGGGAGAGCAGATGCATAGAATAAGTCTTAATTCCAGTAACTTAGTCTAGTCCGAGTTGCTCCCCACAGTCTCATATGAATGGATTTCAAGCAAAAAAAAAAATTCCCTTTTAATTCCATTTTCCAGGAACATGTTAAAGTGTACTCAGGTTACACTTTATATTGTCAGACAATATCCACCACCCCTTGCTGTGCTTTGTAACTAATCTATACATTATTTGAGGTCAAGATCAGGTCTGCTCCTTTTGCTTCCACGGAACACCCCCTTTGGGCACTACTCTTGGAACATTACCAATGAATTGCTGTTGATTTGATTTCACAACATGGAAAATGGTGACTTCAAAGAAGAAAAATTAGATCTTTCCAGATTACTTCTAGAGACAGTGTGCAAGTTTTCCTTTTAAGTCCCCTGTTGACAGCATAGATAAGCCTGCTGGTATGTACCCTGTAGCTTTTGTGGGATTTCCTTGGGGTTATCTGCAGTCTCTGCATGTCCCTTTTTCTTCACCCTTGATAATAGAGCCCCTTGTGTTCCATTCACTGCAAGAGTCTTTGGACAGTGCAGGCCTTGAATATGACAGGGGAATAGTCCAGACTTCTACTGTATATGAATGTGTATACATGTCACATATGTAAATATACATTTATATAAGTACATAATTATAGTGATGTGTAAGTATGTGTCTTGGTATGCAAGTAGGCAGTATATATACATAATAGTAAACAAGCAGACACACCTATACATCTGAAGTCCATTATGTTTATAAGTAGAAGAAACTGAGGTTATTAATTCATTAAGAAGTGAGTCTTGGGGCCAGCACCGTGGCTCACTTGGTTAATCCTCTGCCTGCGGCGCCAGCATCCCATATGGGCACTGGGTTCTAGTCCCAGCTGCCCCTCTTCTAGTCCAGCTCTCTGCTGTGGCCCGGGAGGGCAGTGGAGGATGGCCCAAGTCCTTGGGCCCTGCACCCCATGGGAGACCAGGAAGAAGCACCTGGCTCCTGGCTTCCGTTTGGCGCAGCACTGGCCATAGCGGCCATTTGGGGAGTGAACCAATGGAAGGAAGACCTTTCTCTCTGTCTCTGTCTCTGTCTCTCTCTCTCACTGTGTATTACTCTACCTGTCAAATAAAAAAAAAGTGAGTCTTGGGTGCAGGTGCTGTGGTGCAGTAAGCTAAGCCTCCACCTATGGTGCCGGCATCCCATATAGGTGTTGGGGCATGTCCCGGCTGCTCTTCTCCCAATCCAGCTCTCTGCTACAGCTTGGGAAAGCAGCGAAAGATGATCCAAGTACTTGGGCCCCTGCACCTGCATGGAGGATCCAGAAGATGCTCCTGGCTTCAGATCAGCCCAGCTCCAGCCATTGCAGCCATTTGGGGAGTGAACCAGCAGATGAAAGGCCTCTCTCTGTCTCTCCCTCTAACTCTACCTCTCAAATAAATAAATAAAATCTTAAAAAAAAAACCCTGAGTCTTGCCCAGTTTTTTAAAAGAAGAGGCCTGCGTATTCCCAGCAAGCTTCTTCCTTTTGAGCTTCCTGAGAACTCCGACTTCACTTGCTGTGGCTCTGTGCTGGGTCCACCTGAACTCTGGTGAAGCTCTGGCTGCTCCTGCCTGAGCCATCAGTCATCCCTGAGCAGCTACAAAATCAGAAGGGGGCTGGCTGTCTTCCTCTGCCATGCGCTTAGTTTCCCAAGTACCTCTGACCTCAACAATAACGTTCTCTTGTTTCCTTTTTTTTTTTTTCCAAAAGGCATTTATTTGAGAGGCAGAGTTACAGAGAGAGGGAGAGACAGGGAGAGATCTTCCATCTGCTTGGATCATTCCCTGAATGCCTGCAACCAGAAGCTCAGAACACCGTTCAGGTCAAGCACTCCAGCAGGGGTGCAGGGGTTCAAGCACTCCAGCCACCTTCCATTGCTTTCCTCGGCTCATTAGCATGGAGCTGGCTTGGAAGTGGAGCAACTGGGACTTGAACCAGCACTCGTATTGGATGCCAGTGTCACAGACAGTGACAACCCACTGCACCGCAATTGCAGTCCCAGTTCTTTTCTTGCACCATTATCTTATCCTCTCTTCTGTTTGGCTGCCTTCCTTCTTTCCTTCCTTCCTTCCTTCCTTCCTTCCTTCCTTCCTTCCTTCCTTCCTTCCTTCCTTCCTTCTTATAGAGAGAGGCAACTCCTGTGTCACTCCCCAAATACCCACAAGAGATGGAGAGGCTGAAGCCAGGAACTCAATTCAGGTCTCCCACATGGGTAGTTCAACTACTTGAACCATCAACACTGCCTCCCATGGTCTACGTTAGCAGGAAATTGGAATTAGGAGCCAGAGCTAGGAATTGAACCTGGGTACTCAGATGTGGGCTGTGAGCCTCCTAACCAACATCCTAACTGTTAAGCCAAATGCCCACCCCTGCTTCTCCTTCCCTTTTTTTTTTTGAAAGTTTATTTATTTATTCAAGAGGCAGAGTTACACAGAGAAAGAGAGAAAGCTCTTCCATTTGCTGGTTCACTCCCCAGATGACTGCAACAGCTGGAGCTAGGCTGATCCAAAGCCAGGAGCCAGGAGCCAGCAGCTTCTTCCTGGTTTCCAACATTGGT